TTATGGTAATAACCATTAACAGCATATGGCAATTGCATATAACTAGCTCTATCACACGTTTTCGTTTTACAGTACAGATCGGTTATTATTATATTAATATGTATGCTAAAAAGCTAAAATAATGGAAATGGCAGCCATTTTAAATTTTAATAGCTCAAAAATGTGTACAATATTTAGTTAACTGTTGTTGTCATTGTTATGAGTGAATTTCCAATTGAATACTGCATTTTAATGACATAAACTTACAGTATTAGTGAACATTTTAGGAAAAAATGGCGGCCATTTTGAAACTGCTGGCAACCCCCCTTACGTATGAAAAAAAAAATGTTGAACATACTTTTTTTGATTTATCAATTTCTACTCTAAATCATATCCAATTTTTTTTAAATATAGCAAAAAAAATGCAACCTCTGATATTGCTACATTTCGGACAGGACTACAATGCCTGATGATGACACATTATATTATGGTAATAACCATTAACAGCATATGGCAATTGCATATAACTAGCTCTATCACACGTTTTCGTTTTACAGTACAGATCGGTTATTATTATATTAATATGTATGCTAAAAAGCTAAAATAATGGAAAATGGCAGCCATTTTAAATTGTAATAACTAAAAAATATTTAGTTAACTGTTGCTGTCATTGTTATGAGTGGATTTCCAATTGAATACTGCATTTTAATGACACACATTTACAATATTGGTGACAATTTTAGGAAATAATGGCGGCCATTTTGAAAAGGATGGCAACCCCCCTTACGTATGAAAAAAAAATGTTGCACATACTTTTTTGATTTATCTATGTTTACTCTACATCATATCCAACTTTTTAAAAATATAGCAAAAAAGATGCAACCAACCAAAGTTTGCTGGACTATAACCTGGCTGGGATCAGTAAGTCTTTATCAACACGCAATAACACATTTTGATGGTAATTAAGTGTTGTGGATGCACATTTACAGCGAAATTAAGGGGCATTTATTTTGAGTATATACGTATCCGTTTTAAACCTAAAACATATTTAAAAATAAATACCTCCCTCAAATAAACTCCTCCTCGAATAAACGCCCCGCAAAAACCCTTCTCAACTAATGCCCCATGGTGCAAAACTAGGGAATGGATCATAATGACTACAACATAAATTACATTTTTCACGTTTGAACAAAAATGGGTACTCAGGCACCATAAAACCATTTGGTAACGCCACTGCCTATTCAAGAAAGACAATATATAAATCTAAATAATTACCTTAGAAATAAATCTAAATTTACATGTTGCAAAATCATCTGTAAAATAGTGGATAACAAGATATCAGATATATTTTATAGACCTAGCTATTTTAACTGAAGTTTATGGGGGTTTCCTCTTTTGATGCGAAGACCACATTTTGATATCAAAAAAGAGTATTATTCAGAATCAGAATCAGAAAAAAACTTTATTGATCTCTAAAAAAAGAAATGTTTTGCTCGATGAAACCTTGCATATAAAAATACATTCAAATACATTCAAAATATAAATACGATAGAATACAACAGTACATTACCAATTCAAACTTCAGATTTTAAAAACGTTAAAATACTAAAATCGAACAAAAAAAAATACAAGAAAAGCTGAAGGCAGAACTCCCCACATAACTGACATTTTTAGACTTTGAAAGGCCTTTGATACGGTTTGGCGATGTGCTCTTATGAAAGCCATAACCAGTACAGGTGTAAGTGGAAAAATATTCAATGTTATTCAATATGTATTCATATGACGCAAATTTTTGGTTGATGAATTTGAATCATATCTCTTCCAAAAAAGAAGGTGTAACACAAGTTGTCCACTCTATCTAATTCTCTTGCCAATAAACATGAATTTAAAAATAGAAAGCTTGGAATTTCTATTAATGACAATGTAATAATTAGGCAAAGTTAATTTCGGGTATCGCCGAGAATGCTTCCGTGCGAGTCTAGGCTGGCTCTCATTCTCTTCATCCACTTTCTCATCGAAGGACCGTTGCCAGTATTAGTTTGTTTTATCGATATGTCTTTGGCCTGACTTGATCCCCTGTTAAGGAGTTTGCGCTGTTCGACAGATTGTGATGAGCCCCAACGTATACCGTTAGTAAATACAGAATTTGTCGAAGCACGACAAAAAAAAAAAAAAAAAAAAAAATCACAAGTGACGTGTGGAACTCTTATATTATACAGAGTGGTGTTGAATAGCTTAGTGGTTATGAGCCTTGTCGTCCAATCTCATGGTCCTGGTTTTAATTCCTGTCACAGCAAAATAATTTTCTCACAACATAAGAATCATAATGAGACTTAAGTGTGTATGCTTGGGGGTTGTGAAGAAATTGGCACTTAAAAAAGTGATGTAAGTTTGCTCTTTGGTATATTGTTGCCTTGGTCCAAAAAGTAAATAAAAGAATAATAAAACACAGGAGCATTCGTCACAATAATGTGTACCGACGAGCAGTAAGGGTATACGGCCTATTGGGATCTAGGAACGATCCAATACTATTCGATATTAGAATAATATTATATCATCTTTTCACTGCAGCTTTATTTACCGATCTTACAGCGAATTTCGGCCTAGTTTTTTTCGGCCTCTCTATTGCCGGATTTTTGCTCATTCCTCTGTGTAAGCCTATATATATTCAACCTGAAGAGCACTGAATCATGTAAGGAGAATTTATGATGGATGGAGGGGGTGAGGAGGGGTCTCTGATCAATGTGATATCAGCTTCGTTTGTAATATGGCCCAGTACGTGAGATTTGAAACAGTTGTTTTTTAGTTATGTATCAAAGTCATTATTTAAACACGATATGGTATTGAAACTGGAGGTGATTTTTTTTTCAAAAATCAATATTAAACTAAAAACATATTGACTCTTATAATGCTAATAATGACCTGGAAATTGTTATAATTATCTCAATGTACGAAGTCCTGTTTAGAGGTTCCAAATTACTGTTTGTTCGTTGCATGAGAAGTCAAGTTGTTATTACTATTACCACTGTTCCCTGCTATTACAAAGCGGATGCAGAAATTCTAAAAAGAGGGGGGTGAGGGTGGAGGCAGGGGAGGGGGAATTTTACAGATGGAAGGCACTCACCTAGCCCCACCATTGTGAATGATTAAATGTCTATGGCACCTCTCGATGGGCGAAATTGTTTTCTCAAAGTTTGAATGTTTAAAACTTTAGAGAGTTCGGGCTGGCTGCCTTCCCCAATCCATGAATCCGTCTGTCGCGTACATCACCGTTTACCTATGTGGTGGATTGGTTTAAATCAAACATGTATTTGGTATAAAACATGAAATTACAAATAACAGCAGAGGCTGAAATGGTTTGTATTATTTTTTGAAAAGACAAATACAAAATCATTCAATGAAAATATACATCAAAATTTAAAAATCTGTATGAAAACATTATTACAATTATGATAGCAACATTTATTAAAAATATAAAAAATACATCAATATTTATAAATCAATATAAAGATATCATTACGATTATTATTTCGATAATTAAAGTAAAAAAATACATTAAGAATTATTAAAAAGAAAATAAGTGAAAATGTTTCAATTATAATTCTTTTAAAATTATTAAACTGAGAAAAATAAACAAGAAAAAAAAAAACAGGAGGAAAAACAAGAAAAACGCGACAAAATTAGAATTAGACATACTTCTAGAAAGTCGTACAGTATCCACGGTACAGTTCACTCGTAAATATGACGGATTATCATTATTTTTACAAGAACAAAATTTTAATCATAATACTCAGTAAGCAGACGATTTGTTCAAATTAAAATATATATATATTCTTGAATTCGGCAACATTTACTTTTATTTAGTGACATATTGCGTATATTTTTATCTCAATTGACAGAAACAAGAGACCTGTCTTTATTGTCTTTTAGCTAGTAAAATTAAACAAAAGCTGCCGTTTCATTGACGTTATTCATAATCGCCCAAAGAGAAAGGAAGAATCTCTATTAAATTATATGTGAATAAAATTGTCAACACAATATTAGTTCTCCCTTGATTTGAGGATATTTAAATAATCATAGATCCAATATGTAAAAATGGAAGTAAAACATCCTTCCATTTTGTAATTGAAAGGTAATAATTTAACTTAATTAAGTACATAAGCAATTCAAATACTGATCTTCATTATTCTTTTATTATTGCAGACTATATTTTCAACAAAACAGTAAAGTAATACTTAAAACTGAATGAACTGGAGAATAAGAAATGTTAATACTGGCGTATAAAACTGACTTGTGGATTTTACTTGTCTTTACCAAACACTGTTATTAAATATATTGTTCACTATAACTACATCTAAATGTTCTAGTGTGTTCATACCATTAATATCAGTAACTAACTTGGGCCTTATAATCTTACTTATATGTAATCATAACGATTATTTACACATAAATATTTTTCCGGCCAAGCAATTGCGTCATATTATGAAATTGATAAGGCTGCAATTTTCGCGTCTCAACTTTAGGCTGTACGATCAAGAGAAAACAGTCATTAAAAAAATGTAGGTAGCGGTAGCTTTTACTACGAAGAAATGGGAATTCTGAACTAAGCAATGCGCATGCACAGTTACCAAATAACGTCTGTGAATTATCTATAAAAACACAGTGAGCATGTGCTTGGAAATGCTAGACAGCCAGTGAGCATGTGCATTGAGTAAGTGACGTTATCGAGCCATGTCGAGCATGCGCAGTTACCAAAAATAGTCTCAGGAACCAAATAGCGGCTGCGAAGAGGGTATGATTACCAAAAAAATTGTCTGAGGAACCAAACAGCGGCTGCGATGAGGGTATGAAATAGAAACGGATCGAACTTTATATGCAACATGCGTAAGATCAACTCTAAAAATAATTTAGCCCTTCAAACAAATTAATTAAGAATATTTAATATAAGAGAATAATAATAGTACCATCATAGTCAAAATAAAGCATCACTTTTTTTTGTATCAAACAGTTGTTTCTTGGCATAACATCATATTCGCTCTCCCCATTTATACAGTTCATTTCAGAAATGTTCAGGCCCATACTTGATAGACTGATTAAAGGGTCTGTAGTCGAGGTGCAGGACAAAGGCAAAAAGGAAAAAAAAAACAGACTTGATGATGTGGTAGAATAATTTGGAGGGGGTCAGTGGCCCTTCACTGAAAAGTTATTATTTTATGATGCTCGGAAATGCTCTTTCCTGCCTCTGGCCAATGTCGCCTAATAATAGATATTGATAAAAGCAAGGATTTTTGGATAAAACAATTTTAATTTACCTGGTATCTAATTTTGTTGGGTTTCAATCATGACCATTTTTTTTTTGTGAGACCAGTATGAGATATTTTACTTCTTAGGACAAAATTATGCTAAGTTATGCTAAATTTGCCAAAATTATGCCAGCACATATGCTAGATGCTAAACGGATCTAAATTATGCTAAAAAGCATAATTATGCTAGGTCTGGTCACATCCAACACCCAAGTTAGGTCAAGTGACGCCCATCGCTAAATCCCTCTCTTCAGCTAAAACGATCAGTATGGATGGAAAAAAATAAGTACTCGAGCGGGTCGAAAAGTCTCTATTTTGCTTTACAGACGGTTCATCAGGGGGAATTGTAATTAAATAATCGCAAAAAAAGGTTTGTTAGGCTCTATCGTCGTATGTAGGCCTATGCATTGCCAATCCTATAAAAAAATAACCACAGAGAAACTGACGACTCAACCTAGGGCCTACTGCCAATTAGTAGAGCCAGGGTATTCCATATTTATTGTGTCGAAAAATAAGGTGCCGTACGCTGAAGATGGTTAGGGTTAACCATAATCGAGATATCGTACGGTACCCATGCTTTATCGACCCATAAACAATAGCCACACACTGGCGAGCGTAGTAGAAGGCCCTGGCCAAGCTAGTGGGGGAGGGGGATGAATACAAATAAAAAATATAATATTACAAATCTTATTATTATTAATAACAATAATGGTAAAAATGCTGTTCGGCTCAGTGGTTTTCATTCTGATTGTTGAACTTGTAGTCAGCAGGACGGTACAAACCAAACTGAAACGATGTCCAATCTCGGGCGGACAATGTATAGATACCTCAAATTGCATTGTTGACAGGCTGCCAAGTGGCTAAGGCTGTTTCAGCCATTGTTGCGAGCATTTTTATGGCATATAAATAAATTGTAGTTAAGTATTAATCCTCTTAAAAACCCCATGGATGGTAAAACGGACAAGGGAAAACAACGTCACAGATTAGGAAATGAGATCGATATTTATTGGGGAAGAGCAAAACGGTGCAGCACAGCAAGAGAGGGGAAGATTGATTTGCCGTCAACATCTTGAGACATTTGTCCAGCAGTGGACCGACAATAGCAGATGATGAAGCCTTTGAAGGTTATCAACGTGATTAACTTACCACACACCCTGGTCAGTCAACAACAGTGAACAAAAATAATCATAAAAATATAGAAATAAATAATAAAATTAATTAATCAAAATTAATGCCGAAATATTACAATGAAAATCCAAATGGAAGAATTGAATAAGGTAAAGATGTTGCGGCGTTTTTTTATATG